CACCCTAACCCTAGCTAACAAAAAAACGGGTTGTTTTGATTTCACATTACACCTAATTTTATGATCTGCAGAGATGCAGCAACATCACGAGGCGCAGTGTATAAATTATCCCTTATTTTAATATAGTTTTTTGGTATAAATATTCAAATATTCATTTTTCAACCAGATTAGATCTCTACTAATATCTTGTGCTACAACTAGATTTTCTAATTCAGCTGCTTTTATATAATATTCAAAAGCTCTCTAATCATTTTTCTTAATACTAATATTATGTTAATAACATAACCAAGATCAAAAAGTTGTTCAAAGTTCAATTTTTTTTAAGAAAAAAAATTATGTGCCAAATAAGATACAAACTTTAATTGTATTATTCAAAGTCTAATTTTTTTTTTTAAAAAAAAAATTATGTATTGAATAAAATACAAACTTTAATTGCATTATTTAAAGTTCAATTTTTTTTAAGAAAAAAAATCATATACCGAATAAGATACAAACTTTAATTGCCTGAAATATATATTATTATAAGGTTCAGAACAATCAGAATTCCCAATTATAAATTATTTCTGTTATAACCCTACCTGACTATAAACAAGATAGATTAACATTTTTTAAAGTTAATCTTTGGATCATTAAGTATTAATCCTGTATTTGGAACAGATAATGATTCTGATAATGTGTTATAAAAACAATAACAATTGCCAAAATTATTCTTATCTGCAGATTTTGATAAAAAATATCCACTTTAACCAATTTCACATTTATTAATAAGAATGTTTTATCCAGATTATTCATATCTGTAAGTGTGAAAATTAATTTCATAATCATTTCAATTAAATAGATTGTAAAAATTAGATTCAATTAATAAATATAAGAATTTAATAATATAATGTTAAAAAAACAATTAGCTGTTTTCACAATGTTAATTATGTAAATAATCAACAGCATCAAAATTTCTCAGGTAAACTTTTTATAGCAACATTGGAAAAGCTACATAATTCAGAATTGTAAATCCCAGCATATATCATTATTATTGAATTTTTTAAAAAGCCAAGAAAAAAAAATCTTGATTAATAATCAGGAAATAATGTAGTTCATATATAGAAAATAAAAATTAAATATAACTTATCTGTGTAAATTTAATACAAAAGCCCAAGGGAAAATATTCATACTGATTATATATATAAACAATATGATATCTATATTTATTTCTTATTCATACATATATCGATTTTAACCCATAAACATATATAAGTATTGAAATAAATTAGTAATTATTTGTATTACCAAAAGATTTTGAGATTGAGAACATATAAAAAACCAAAGAATTTGAAGTTAATAATAAAATTCAGTTCTTAACTTAGAAATATAAACTTTATTATATTTTACTTTAATATTTTGTAAAGCTCCTTAATTAAAACAAGAATCGTTATTAGTAATATACAATGGATAATGATAATTCACAATATTTTTCTTCAACTTATCAATTTGATGAATCAATTGCTGACTCTATTACAAAATCAAATAGCCCAGTATCTGAAACTAGAAGTACAAGTACAAAAAGTGATAATGAAGCTTCTAATGTATCTACTATCAAAAAAACTAAATTAGATCAAAAGGGTGGCTCAAGAAAATGAAGCTGGGTATGAAAATATTTTGAGGAAAAAAAAACAATAGAAACTGTTCAAAGTCTTGATAATCAAAAAATTAATACTAAAGTTATATATAGCATTTGTAATATATTAAATGATTCAGGTAAAAGTTGTAATTTATAATTAAAAGTTTCAAATGGCTCAATGTCAAATTTAATATCTTATCTCCTAAATTCACATAGTATTATATAGAATGGGCCTAGTTTATCTAGACAAGACGATGATAATAACAAAATATTGAAAATTCAAATGTGCAAATTTAATCATATTGCTTAATATCTAAAATCAAGCAATTTTATTAAATTCGCATATTCAATGCTGATAAATAATTAAATTAATAATTAATTTTAAATGAAAACTTTTTTATTTTATATAGACAATGCAAAAAAAAATCGACTTTTTTGTAAAAAATACATACCTTCATAGTAAATCAAAAAATGATAAACTTATTATAAATCTTATTAAATTTATTATTTGTAGTGCCCAACTAATTAGTCTTGTGTCAAGCTAATTTTTTTGTAAGTTTGTAAAGGAATTGGATTCAATGTTTAATATGCCTAATGAAAAAAGTATCAAACAAATAATTCATAAATTGTATAATTAGTATACTCAAAATATATTGAAAAATTTACAAAATACTGTCATAACTTGTTTACTTACTATGGACATGTAGATGGGTCACAACAGACAAGAGTATCTTGGTATTACCTGTTCATAAATTGATCTTGAATTTAAAATCCATGAAGTATTACTTTCTTTAACTTATATTAAATATCCGTATACTGCTGATATTATTTAAAAATATTAGAAAATATAATTGCTAATTGGGGTCTTACTAGAAAGGTATATGTGATCACAAGTGACAATAGAAGTAATATGAAAGCAGCAATTAACAGAATGATTGATATTGTAAGAATTCTATATGCAGCTCACACTTTGCAACTTATCATCAGAAAAGGCCTAATGCCTGCTAAAGTACTTGTAGTAAGAGCTAAATAGTTAATTAACTTCTTTATAGTACCAAAGCAAAATGAATGACTTGAAGAAGCTCAAAAAACATTAAAAATATAATGTAATTTTTTAATTAATTCTCTATACAAATAACTAAATTATCTTTTTATAATAAGTAATTAAAAAAACCTCTACTTATCTTCATATAAAAATGGATATGTCTACCTATTGAAATTTGTCTTTTTTAGCTTAGAAACGTTTTTTGCTAATTAAGGATACAATGATATTGTTATAACAACATTAACTGTCTCTAGTATCTCAGAAGCTCAAAGAGATGCAAAAAGATTAAAAAAAATTCAATTAACTAAAGATAAATGAGATTTAATAAAAGAACTTGTTAATATTTTAAAACCTTTCTTTGAAACTACAGAAGAGCTTGGTGGTTCTAAATATATTACAATTTTTTATATACTCCTATCTATTTTTTCATTAATAAGAAATCTAAGTAATTCTGATTCTGATAAAAAATTAAGTAAAGTAGATTTTGAAACAGATGACCTTGCATTTAATGACAACATTGGATTTATTGATACTGAAGAAGAGGAAGAAGGAGGTGCTAAAAAAAGAAAAGTCAAAATAAATATACCTACTAATGCTAAAAATATAAAACAAAAAATTAAAAGCATATTATACAATATACTTTTATATTATTAGGACTTATCTGATAGTAATACACTTCTCACTTGCCTTCTTAATCCAAAATGTAAAAAATTAAATTTGCAGCACCAACTCAGAAATGCCAAGCTGAGACTGCTTTTCATAATAAGTATAATGATATTAAATCTTCTCATCAATATTCTACACCATTTGATAAACTGATTAACCCTTATAAAAATCAAGACAATCAAGAAGGATAGCATTAGATTTATTAAAAATTATTTTTTAAACCAGTTTTTATACAAGATACTCCTGAAGAATTAAATGAGCTTGATCATTACTTCTTTTTATCTGAAATCTATTATATATTAGATCCTTTTAATTGGTAGAATTCCCAAAAAAATCTTCTTTTCTATTCTTAACAAGCTTACAAGGCAATACCTCACAACACCCACAATTTCAACTTCAAGTGAGTGACTTTTCAGCAGTGCAAGTAATATGATGACTATTAGAAGAACAATATTAAAGCCTAAGTTATTCGAACATATGTTGTTTTTAAAATAAAATAATAAAAGTAGAGACATTTATCACCTAATTTTTTTTTTATCAGAAGCTTATCCCCCTCCCTAGCTTTTAATATATGATTAATCAGGTGTTATATATAAAATTTTAATTTTTTTGACTCCTTCTCCTCTAAAAAATCATCTGATAAATGTCTCTATCCTAATGAACTTGATGAAATTTATGCTAAAACAAATATTTTACAGTAAAAGAGGTGAATAATTAATTATATAATTATATGTCTCTATAACTTATTATTAAGTAGATTTTTTTTTGTATATTAAATTTCCATAGACCAATTATTAAAAATTGAACATTTTTTGAATAAAATTATATTTACTATATCATTAGAATTATGTTTTTAAATTATATATTAAACAAATTATATATTTATTATAAATAAATAAATTATATTTAAAATTAAATAAATAACTCCTCCAGATAAACATGTTGATGCATTAAGAAGGAAAAGAGTAGAGGATTCAAGATTTGAAATAGTATATGAGATAACTAAAAAAGAATTGTTAGATTAGATTGTTGGAGAGAAACATGCAGATTGGTAGAAAATGAATATGTAGTTTTGACAGGTGGTAAGAACTAGCTGTTGACGTATTATTGAAGCCAATTTCAGGATAAGATAATACAGAGGCGAATCTTACTATAGCAG